GGGAAAGAAATAAGGCGATCTTTGATCAAACTATCACCTCGAAGTATGGTCTCATTAGGCGCATTACCTATACTTGTGGTAATATTCAATTGGCTAATGAAACCCTTATTAAGATTGGTCATCAGGAGCTTAGAAGAGAGGAAGTCTTATTCACTGGAATTTTCCCTCTGAGGGTTATGTTAAACTTAATGTGGATGGTTCCAGCATAGACAGTGGGCAAAGGACTGCATGTGGTGGAATCATAAGGGATGCTGCTGGGAACTGGTTAACCGGTTTTACAAAATTCCTTGGGAGTGGTACTTCTACTTCAGCGGAAATTTTGGGATTCTTGACAGGTATGGATCTGGCTTGGCATACGGGATTTAGGAGAGTCTTTGTGGAGGGTGACTCCAAGGTGGCTTTGGAATTTATAAGAAAAGGGTGTGACGTAAGTCATCCTCTTTCTGCTTTAATCATCCGAGCTCGTAGCATGCTTCAAAGAGACTGGATTATTCAGCTTAGTCATACTTATAGAGAAGGCAATTTTGTTGTTGATTGGCTTGCTACTCATGCACCTCATCAGGATGGACAGCTGATTGTGCTGGATGTCCCTCCAACGGCTTGTTTGGAATTGCTTCGTAATGACTTGAGGGGAGTTAGTCTCCCAAGATTGTGCCCAGTATAGGGCTTTTTTTATGTTGCTTTAGTTTTCATTGTATTTCCAAAAAGGAAAACCCCAAAACCAAAGACCTTAAACATTTGATTTCTTTCAAACTGTAAGTCCAAAATTTTCTAAGAGAATTCATTGTTTATTCAAAAAAAAAATTCAAACAACAAAATCTCATCGATTATAAAGCCAAAATTCTTCCAAATATTCCATCTATTCACAGATTCAAAATTTAAATAATAAACCCTTATTAAACTGTGAATCCTAGTTTTTTTTTTAAATGTTGCTTTTGTTCCAAAACCAAAAAATCACCGTCAGGGAACAAAAATAACACTACATAGCTAATACAAAATACATAAGATGGAACCCACGTTCAAAAAATAATAAACTTTATACCAAAAGACAATAAAGCAAAATTTTTCATGATTTATCATATATAAAAATCACAAAACTTAATTCCCTCATAATTCAATATGACAATGGCTCTGATACCAATTGTTGGAATTTTTAATTCCTCTAAACCTTTTGGTGATAACTATCACCTACAAGCCAAGATCCATCATACCAAATCATAAATAAATAATTACATAAAGGTGGAGGCATACTTGTCTCCAATGCAGCGGAATAACTTTGATCTTGTCTCTTGGGGTTTGTAGTCTTCCTCAGTCAAATCACCCTAAAACTGAATTCCTTAGTGTGTCGTCTCTCTCTTGATGGGGAAGAGAAACTAGGGTTATTCATTTGACGTATTGGGGACCATAACCCTTTTTTATAGTGTTTTTACCTTTATTGTTGGGCCAATAAGCTCTCATTATACCTAGTTGGCCCAACACCGGTATCCACTCATTCAGCCCATACTCACTCAGGAATCTATTTGAGAATATTTAACTGATCACTTTAATTTACCTAATATATATAAATAGCATAATATAATTATTAATATAATATGTGACCCACGATAATTATTAGAAAATATAATTTCCTAACACGAGACTACTGCGAACGGAGTGATGTCTCTAGTTTGCGATATGGAGGAGTTTGACAGAAAGGCTGAGCCTTGGTCACTCACAGGTTGAAGGCGTGCAGCGGTTAGCGAAAAAAAAACTTCCTTCCTGGCTCCCTCACGGAATAGGTCCCTCGGCAGTAAGCATAGGTCACTCACTCACGGAATATCTGGCGCCTTCAGACTTACCGGAACCCTTTTTCTTTCCCCACCCCCCCTTTCCTCTTGTCGTCTTATATAAGGATGTTATAATCCTTCACCCTAATGCTCCACGAGAGACTTTGGTCCCTGATGTCATTGCACAGAACGATGCCAGGTTCAAGTTGTTTTCAAATTTCCATCTTCCCTGATTTTTTTTTTCTCTCTGCGTTTTCAACTCTTCCTATCTGCTGTTGTTTCCCTTCTATCCTTATTTCCCTTCTGCGCGGAGTCTTACAGCCTCAATATGTTGTTTATTCTTTGAAGCTCTTTTTCCTTGCTTCAACTGTCTTATTTCCGTTTGTAGCTTAACCATTAAATTTTTTTTGTCTTGATTCTGATTGCCTGATCCGTAAACCAAGAAGAGAATATCTGACCCAAGGCATGTCATTGTTTCATTTGCTTTTCTCCGTGATGCTCTCTGCCCAATTGCACCGTTCTCTTTCCTTTCCTTTTTTTTGTTTGTTTTAGGATAGAAACAAGTAATCTTAACTAAAAGCAAAAGACAGAAACAAAAACTTTACTGGCTATTATAATCAGCCCTTTTTTAATATATTTTTTTGGGTTTTATAAGAGTTATGTTGTAGGAAAAGTGATTGTTTAATGTTATAGAGATTCGTTTTGCGTGCCGTAATTTTCTTTTTTCTTCAAAATGTGTGGACCCCACAAAATGTTGTGTGTGCAGGAAAGTTTGTTGTGTCATAATAAATGACAAATGCAAACCCCATTTTTTTTAATCATCTTTTTAATCTTTTTCTAATCTACTTCTAAGTTATATATATTAATCTGATACACCGACTAAATTACTTAGAAAGGAATATAATTGGATTTTTTTATTTTATTTTTTATTATTTATTTATTTTTATCGTTTTTATATTTAGGACCAAATTAGGTGTTCACAGTTGCCTCTCTTTATTTGTTTCTTATTAGATAATATGACAAATTAAAATTTGCATTTTATCGTTACAAGGAACAAATAAAGACAGGAATACTAATTTTGTCAGCAAAAAGAAACTATAGAGGTAAAATGCAACCTAAAAATTCTTCTGAGCTTGAAAATAAAAGACATGAATTTAGAATGCGAGGTCTTTGAACCTGAGAATTAAATATAATAAACTTTTGAGCTTGACATGAATGCAAAAACCTCTAAGCCTGAAGATTAAATGCATGAATTCACATGGGCACGAAAATGGGAATCTAGAATCAATTGGATATAAAAAAAACTTCTGCAACCAACTGGATATGAGTTGACAAGAGAACCAAAAAGAAACTTCCACAACCAACTGGACATGGGTTGAAAAGAGGAAAGAAAAGCAAAGGTTTATGACCAACTGGATATGGGTTGACAAGAGGAAAATAAAAAGAGCTTTGCAACCAACTCGATATGGGTTGACAAGAGAAAAATAAAGATACTTCTGCAACCAACTGGACATGAGTTGACAAGAGAATAATAAAGAAATTTTCGCAACCAACTGGATATGGGTTCACAAACGGACAGAAAAATAAATATTTGTAACCAACTGGATATGGGTTGACAAGAGAAAAATAAAAGACTTTTGCAACCAACTGGATATGGGTTGACAAGAGAAAAGTGAAGATAACCAACTGGATATGAGTTGACAAGAGAATAATAAAGAAATTTTCGCAACCAACTGGATATGTGTTCACAAACGGACAGAAAAATAAATATTTGTAACCAATTGGATATGGGTTGACAAGAGAAAAATAAAGATACTTCTGCAACCAACTGCGTATGGGTTGACAAGAGAAAAATAAAAGACTTTTGCAACCAACTGGATATGGGTTGACAAGAGAAAAGTAAAGATACTTCCACAACCAACTGGATATGAGTTGACAAGAGAATAATAAAGAAATTTTCGCAACCAACTGGATATGAGTTCACAAACGGATAGAAAAAAAAAATTGTAACCAACTGGATATGGGTTGACAAGAGAAAATAAAAGACTTTTGCAACCAATTGGATATGGGTTGACATACAGACAAAAAGTTAAATGTGTGGCATCTAGCCCGAAAAACTAAATTGTGATAAGCCTCTAAGCTGGAAGTAAAATTGCATGAATGTAAATTGCATGCCCCTCTAGTTCATATGCTTCTGGATTAGATGAAATCTTAGCAGCCTGTAAAATATTGTGAGTTTGTGATCTTATGCCATTATGATGATGATAATAATAATATGCCATTTCTAGTTCATGTGGCTTTATCTGCATATCATAACTTGTGACTATATGTGCTGCAAATGATTGGTAACCTAAATAAATTATTTGATCTGTTAATAGAGCTCAAAAACATCTCTCTGCTGTTGCTGCTTGGGAAGAGAAAAAAAAGGTAGCTCTTGAACTTGAGCTGAAAAAATTGAGGTAATACTTAACCTATTTTTCAGCTATTATTTATTATCATCATGACATTTCTTTTCCAAATATATGCTACATGCTACTAACATGATGCATTTGGCAAAGGACACAAAGAAGTGCATCCTTTTTAAATATCAAAGGATTAATAAACTTTGATATTATAGGATGCATGATATTATACTGAAGTAGTTTGAGAACATATTTTACTATGACAATAGAGTTAATGAAGTAAGATCCAAATGAACAACATGCATGTACTTATATGAGTGTTGCTGCATACAACTTTTAACAACCTCTCTTGTGTGAGCAGGAAAAACTAGAGAAAATGGAAGTGCAACTTTTAACAACTTTCAACTAATTGAATAATGGGGTATGAAGTTGAATAATGGAAGTGCAAGCATATGAATCCCCTTACCCAATTTACTGAAAAATCAGTGTGCACCACAAACCCATAAGAAGAAGTTGCATGCTACAAGATGTAAAATATATTAATAATCCCCCTTCCATCTGCATCTCACCTGCGTCTCAGTGATAACAGCTTGCCCCTCTCACACTGCTACAAGAGTGCAAGTTCCAACTGGTAATCCTAATAAGTAAATAGTGACTGGTAATTAACAAACAGGGAGAACGATAAAGGAAGAGAATGAAGGAATAGAATGTAAGTTAAAAATAAAAATGCAAATTACTCGAACACAAAGACATATATATCAGATAAAGCAATCAAAATCAAAATTTCATGATCTATGAGAGAGAGAGAGAGAGAGAGAGAGAGAATTAAACCATGGGAAATTGTTGCCAATCATCGTTGTTGTTCGGAGTAGGCGAGAGAGAAACTCACCCGGAAAAGGAAAATCAGCAACCCTACCGCAACCACAATCACAACGCTATCTTCTCTCAGAGTCAGAGAGAGACTATGACTATTTTCGTGTCTGTAGCTGATGAACCTTCATCGTTCTCGGAGCTCTCCTTGGCAGACCTGAAAGCCGCGACAAATAATTTCAGCTCAGAGTATATCGTTTCGGAGAGTGGAGAAAAAGCACCGAACGTGGTTTACAAGGGTCGGCTCCAGAACCCGAACAAGAATCGTTGTTGGATTGCTGTGAAGAAGTTCAGCAAAGCTGCTTGGCCTGATCTGAAGCAATTCGTGGAAGAAGCTTCTGGCGTTGGGAAATTGCAGCATCCAAGGCTCGCTAATTTGATCGGTTACTGTTGCGGTCTACTATTTCAAGATTCAAGATGGAAGAGTTGGGTGTTCTCCGTGTTTTTAATGTACAGTTCAAAGAGTTATTTACGGTCTTGCCATTAATGAGAATTGGGTGTTCTCCGTTTTTTTTTGGTTTGAGAACAAAGAATAGAAAACTAGAACAAAAACAACTAAAAGGTGTTCTGAAAATTCTATTCTAAAAACCAAAAAAGAAAACCTATTTTTAAATTTTTTTTACAAAACATGAAGTATCAAACATGTTTTTTTGTTTTTAAAAACAAAAAACAGTTTTGTAAAACACAAATCAAACACACCCATAGGGCCTGTTTGATTGTGTTTTGGTTTTTTTGTTCTTAAAACTGTTTTGTAAAATAGTTTTTAAGAACTGAATTTTAGAACAAAAGAAGAAAAAAATCTGTTTGGTAAACTTGTTTTGAAAATAATTTTAAAAGTTAAAAAACAAAAAAATCTGTTTGGCAAATTTGTTCTAAGAACATGTTTTTAAAACAAAATAAAAAAACTCATTTGATTGATTATTTTTTTAACTTACTTTAAAATAATTTTTTTATTTATAAGTAAAAATTTAGATATATTTTTAACATCAAAATAAATCATATTACAAATCTTTTTTAAGACCAATGCATTGCAAGTTTATCATTTCAAAATCCATAAGGTTACTATATAAGTTGTTATCTGCCAATTTATAATAATTGTAACGAACCAAAGTTAATCTAGTCAAAGACGAATATCTTAATAAGCAACACATATACAAACATAAAATAGGGTTTAATGTACTAATAATCAACACATACAAACATCTAGTCACTTGAAAATTGATTATCCGAAAGTAAAGCCTATTTAACAAATCAAATCAAATAATCTAAACCGCAGAGTTGTTATGTTGTGCCCACATCCAATTTGCTATATGATTACGGTATGCTGCCATTTCAGTTGCACCTTCATCAGATAACCTTGATAAGTTATCATCATTGAAACGTGTTCCCTCAATGTTAGAAATCTCATTCATAACCTCCATTTCTGTTGGATCCATGTCTTCCCACATTCTAAACAAATCATCACGTAAATTCCACTTGCGTATGTAATTATGAATAGCACAACACGCTATCACTATGAGTCGCTGCCTAGAAGGTTTATATGGAGGCATTAACTTCAAAATAGGAAATCTGATCTTCAAGACTCCAAAGCATCGCTCAATTGTCATTCTTAAAGATGAATGCCGATAATTGAATAACTCCTCACGACTTCTTGGTTGTCTACCTCGACCAGTGTATTCTTGAGCATGATATCTTTCGCCTCTAAAAGGGGCAAGGAAACCTCCGGTGCAAGGATAGCCAGAATCCACAAGATAGAACATACCTACATCAATGGAGTATACATTAACATTGAATATAAATTATTTACTTCATTAACAAAAGACTAATTCAACAATATAATATTCACCTCTAGATGGCCATGGAAATTGTGCATTTGGATTGGTTAATGAATCAACAAAAACTTTTGCATCATGTGCACTTCCTTCCCACCCCGAATACACATATGTGAAATACATATTGAAATCACAGATACACATGACATTTTGTGTGACAATTGTCTTTCTACCTCTACATGATGTTTGTTTCTCAGCGGGAACCCATGCATTTATATGTGTGCCATCAATTGCACCTAAACAATTCTATAATCGCAAGAATCCAAATAAAAGCAATTAAAAATTAGATAAAATAAATAAATAAAACATGAATAAATATCATAAGCAATAAAGTTACATACCTTGAACCAAGGATAATATATTGGATTATTTTTTATTCTGTCAGGCAATTCTTTAGACTCTTGTTTTATCAGCTTTTTTCCCAATCGGTATACTGCTCTTAATACCTCCTAAAAATAACGAGAGACTGTTTCTGTAGAATGCTGAAAGCGATCTGAAATCACTCTATGGCGAACATTATGCCCAATTATGAATAAAAACATAGCAACTTTTTCTTCCAGAAGAACATCCCTTGAGTCACTTAAGTAACTTTTTCCCCTCAATTCATTGCAAAAATTAGTAAAACATGTTTTTTCCATTCGAAATAACTCGAAACAAATTGTTCCAGATCCATTTAATATCTCAGTAACAAAGTCACGGCCAGTTAATATAGATGTTCGAACCTTAGTTTTATTTAAAAATTTCTTATTATAATCGCAAACCATATCAATGATGCATAGCTCAACTAATTCATCATCACTTGAATCTGATGCAGATTCATCAAAGATACAAACATCATTTTCTAATGTAGAATTATCAATATCGATGACAGCTACAACCTGTCATATTATTCAACAAAAGAATATGAAGATAGTTAAAAAAAAAGTACCTACACTTCCTAATTAATACAAACGCAACAAGTTCAGCACTTTTGGGACTTGGCGGAACATTATGCCATAAAGAATCTACAATAACATTATGTTGCAATTTGGTGTAAAATTTTGGTATAAAATATTTTCATCTTTAGAATGGAGGTGGGTGGTGTCCTTGCATGATAGCTAAGCATATGAATAATGGAATAAATAATGGAATAGTGGGGTTAAAATAGGCACTTTATATTGTTGGTACTGTTGCATGACACAATAATTCTCCCAACCCTTCATTAGTTCATATGCTTCTGGATTAGATGAAATCTTAGCAGCCTGTAAGATATTGTGAGTTTGTGATCTTATGTCATTATGATGATGATAATAAAAATATGCCATTTCTAGTGCATGTGGCTTTATCTGCATATCATAACTTGTGACTATATGTGCTGCAAATGATTGGTAACCTAAATAAATTATTTGATCTGTTAATAGAGCTCAAAAACATCTCTCTGCTGTTGCTGCTTGGGAAGAGAAAAAGAAGGTAGCTCTTGAACTTGAGCTGAAAAAAATTGAGGTAATACTTAACCTATTTTCAGCTATTATTTATTATCATCATGACATTTCTTTTCCAAATATATGCTACATGCTACTAACATGATGCATTTGGCAAAGGACACAAAGAAGTGCATCCTTTTTAAATATCAAAGGGTATAATAAACTTTGATATTATAGGATGCATGATATTATACTGAAGTAGTTTGAGAACATATTTTACTATGACAATAGAGTTAATGAAGTAAGATCCAAATGAACAACATGCATGTACTTATATGAGTGTTGCTGCATACAACTTTTAACAACCTCTCTTGTGTGAGCAGGAAAAACTAGAGAAAATGGAAGTGCAACTTTTAACAACTTTCAACTAATTGAATAATGGGGTATGAAGTTGAATAATGGAAGTGCAAGCATATGAATCCCCTTACCCAATTTACTGAAAAATCAGTGTGCACCACAAACCCATAAGAAGAAGTTGCATGCTACAAGATGTAAAATATATTAATAATCCCCCTTCCATCTGCATCTCACCTGCGTCTCAGTGATAACAGCTTGCCCCTCTCACACTGCTACAAGAGTGCAAGTTCCAACTGGTAATCCTAATAAGTAAATAGTGACTGGTAATTAACAAACAGGGAGAACGATAAAGGAAGAGAATGAAGGAATAGAATGTAAGTTAAAAATAAAAATGCAAATTACTCGAACACAAAGACATATATATCAGATAAAGCAATCAAAATCAAAATTTCATGATCTATGAGAGAGAGAGAGAGAGAGAGAGAGAGAGAGAGAATTAAACCATGGGAAATTGTTGCCAATCATCGTTGTTGTTCGGAGTAGGCGAGAGAGAAACTCACCCGGAAAAGGAAAATCAGCAACCCTACCGCAACCACAATCACAACGCTATCTTCTCTCAGAGTCAGAGAGAGACTATGACTATTTTCGTGTCTGTAGCTGATGAACCTTCATCGTTCTCGGAGCTTTCCTTGGCAGACCTGAAAGTCGCGACAAATAATTTCAGCTCGGAGTTTATCGTTTCGGAGAGTGGAGAAAAAGCACCGAACGTGGTTTACAAGGGTCAGCTCCAGAACCCGAACAAGAATCGTCGTTGGATTGCTGTGAAGAAGTTCAGCAAAGCTGCATTGCCTGATCCGAAGCAATTCGTGGAAGAAGCTTCTGGCGTTGGGAAATTGCAGCATCCAAGGCTCGCTAATTTGATCGGTTACTGTTGCGGTATACTATTTCAAGATTCAAGATGGAAGAGTTGGGTGTTTTCCGTGTTTTTAATGTACAGTTCAAAGAGTTATTTACGGTCTTGCCATTAATGAGAATTGGGTGTTCTCCGTGTTTTTTTTTTTGGTTTGAGAACAAAGAATAGAAAACTAGAACAAAAATAGCTAAAAGGTGTTCTGAAAATTCTATTCTAAAAACCAAAAAAGAAAACCTGTTTTTAAATTTTTTTTACAAAACATGAAGTATCAAACATGTTTTTTTATTTTTAAAAACAAAACCAGTTTTGTAAAACACAAATCAAACACACCCATATTTGTTTATTCCAGCACATTGTTCTAGTGTGAAGATTTTCCACTAGCGAATAGGCCAATGGCAAACATACAAGGACCCGACTGCCCCAAAAATAGCATTCACATCTATTATCTTCCGAATGTTCATGATAGAACATAAACTATTCGATTATGTGAACAAAGATAGACTAGAAGATCATGCGTATCATCCAGTTATGTATGTGAAATATATGCTTCCTTGCAATGTTATTAAAACTGGCCTGGTCATTGATCTGGTCGAGGTACTGGGTCAGTGGTTCAACCGCATGATTTGGTAATTATATACAATTTTATAATTTATATTAAAAAATTATAAATATACTGAAATATCTAAAAAAATGACAAAAAATTCAAATATTTTAATATAAAAAATAATAAATCACATATTATTATACAATAAAGGATCAAATAAAAATATAATGATCGTCATACGAGACTTTAGGTTCGGAAAATGATATCTTTAACTATAAATCAAATCAAAATTTTTTGTATAGTGCATAATTGAGATAATATTAGTGTTGTAGGTACATAAATTATGTAAGTCAATAAGCAAAAAAATATTCAAATATGTCCACTTTGATTTATTTTGTTTTGAAAAAAAAAAATTGGAATTTTTTTTTGGGACCGGGTCGGGTTACCGATTTTCATGAAAATCGGCAGGGTCGGATTGGGTCGCACCGATTTTGATGCATGGCCGGTCCATTACTTCAACCAGACTGATTATATGACCGATTTACCGGTTTCCAGGTCGACCCGGCCGGATCGCTCTGATTTTATTAAAACTGCTCCTTGTATCATTTTTATATACAAATAAATTCTTTTAAAATCAATTTAAGTAAAATATAAGATAAAGAAATACATAAGACTAAACTCAAAACTAAAAATGTGTGCACCATTGAATTTTGTTGGATTAGGTACATCTTAATTTTTTTTTTCCTTTGGCCTCTCTATATTTGTGCATTTCACAAAGTAATTAAAATTAAATAATATTTGAATTTCGTTACTTATCTCAATTTTTTTTAGAGTAGATATAAAATTTGATGATGAAATTTTTGTGTTTGTTTAATTTTTTGAATATTTTTTCATTTAAATTAGTACTTTTAATTTGTATTTTTAAAATATATTTTTTAACACAAGTAATATATTTGAGGTATTAAATTATATATTTATTTTTCTCTCTTACATACATTTGCATTGTCTAAAATATTTCTTATATAAAATTTTAATTAACCCTTTAATTAACAATTGACATGTTTATCTTTATTATCTTGTGGCCACGTTGTAAGAGGAATTCAATAAATAAAAATCTTCAAAAAATAATCTTTTGCAGATAAACCCTGATGTGATGTCTTTCCCCAAACAAGCACCTCATAGACTCACAGAGCAAAGAGAAGAGCTCTGAAACTGTGATGTTCAGCGTTTCCCAAATTCCTCAACCTTGAAGCCACGAATTAGGATACCCAATTTCAAATTCAAGTACTTGCTACTTCATGGTTTTTGGGTTCAGATTGTGGTGGCAGTAGCAACAAATTTCTCAAATCTCTTCATACACACAGAAAAACAAAAAGGTTTCAACTTTCACTACCCTTAACTTGTCCCAAAGTTTGAATTTCTTTTTTCTTTTTAATTTTTTGTGGGTTTTTCTTGTTCTTATCTGTAGCAGATTTTAAGGTTTGTTTGGAAGGGTTTTAGCAGCCACTAATATTGTCTTGTCCCATTTTGGAGTAGAGACAGGGAATAAGGTTTTTCATTTATTTTTGTTAAAAAAATGCCAACTTTGATCTCAGCTAGGTTTCTTCTTGTTGTTGGAGAGTCATTCCCCATAAGAAGGGTTTTGGCCACTTCTAGGAATGCTTCATTGTGCAGTAGTGTCCGTTGTATGAGCCAGGTGGAACCACATAATGGTTCCCTCACCCTTTCTAGCATTGGTTTCCAAAGTGAAATTGAACCAAGAAACATAAGCAAACCAAATAAGCTTAAGCCATTAGGTTCTTCCTCTGAGGCTCTCAAGAGCAAAGGAAAGCCCTTTGGAAACAATGGGAAGAAACCAGTTAGGGTTATAGACAAACAGCAAATAGAGTCTGCCCCTTTTGCTGCTAAATCATTTTCAGAACTTGGCCTTCCCAATGTGTTGATTGAGAGGCTAGAGAATGAGGGGTTCAATGTTCCAACTGAAGTTCAGTCTGCTGCTGTTCCTACCATTCTGAAGAACCATGATGTCATTATTCAGTCTTACACAGGTTCAGGGAAAACATTGGCTTATCTACTTCCTATACTTTCTGCTATTGGGCCATTAAGGGACAAAATTCCTGAAGGAAATGGTGATGGTGGTGAGGCTGGGAAGAAATTGGGGATAGAAGCAGTGGTTATTGCTCCTTCTAGGGAGCTTGGAATGCAGATAGTGAGGGAGTTTGAGAAAATACTAGGAATGGATAATAAGAGAGCGGTTCAGCAGCTTGTGGGAGGTGCAAACCGAACCAGGCAGGAAGAAGCTCTCAAGAAAAATAAACCTGCCATTGTTGTTGGCACTCCTGGTAGGATATCAGAACTTAGTGCAGCTGGGAAACTGCGCACCCATGGATGTCGTTTTCTGGTATTAGATGAAGTTGATGAACTCCTATCCTTCAATTTCCGGGAAGACATGCACCGGATATTGGAGCACGTAGGGAGGAGATCAGGTTCAGGTGCAGACCCAAACTCGAATGACAAAAGGGCCGAGCGTCAGTTAATTATGGTTTCTGCAACTGTGCCATTTTCTGTTGTAAGGGCAGCTAGGAGCTGGGGTTGTGAACCACTTCTTGTCCAAGCTAAGAAAGTTGTCCCTCTTGAAACCGTTTCGCCTTCTCAGCCTGTTAATTTGTCAAGATCTTCACCCAGCTCGAGTCCTAACTCATCCATGCCATCTCAGACAGCAGCAGTAGATAGTCTACCTCCTGCATTGAAACACTATTACTGTGTAGCAAGGTTGCAGCACAAAGTTGATACTTTGAGAAGGTGTATTCATGCACTGGATGCCAAATTTGTGATAGCTTTCATGAACCATACTAGGCAGCTAAAGGATGTTGTCTTCAAGCTGGAGGCCCGTGGGATAAAAGCCGTAGAGTTACATGGAGATCTTGGGAAGCTTGCTAGGTCAAATACTCTGAAGAAATTCAAGAATGGTGAGGTGAGAGTTCTGATGACAAATGAATTATCAGCAAGGGGTTTGGATGTGGCAGAATGTGATCTTGTGGTTAATCTGGACTTACCCACAGATTCAATTCACTATGCGCACCGAGCTGGCCGAACTGGTCGGCTTGGTAGGAATGGTACAGTGGTAACCATATGTGAAGAGCCAGAAGTGTTTGTTGTGAAGAAATTGCAGAAGCAGCTTGGATTACCAATAGTATGTTGTAATTTTGCAGATGGAAAGATGCTTGTCACTGAAGAAGAGAAAACACTAAGCACTTCTTGAAGATGAGGTGTTATATTTTTGCAACATGTTTGGTTGATAATGCATTTTCCATGTTCAATGTTTTTGTTCTTCATTCAGAAAAGCTATATTTAAGGGATTGCTTCTTACCTATTTTACTAATTGATAACTATTACTTGAGTGCACTGTGCACATTAGAAATGTTCCTTGTAGTTTACATTTTAAGTTGAATATAAAAAGTATATACTGATTATTAGGGCAGCTGATATCTGGTTCACAATCACAACAGATTCAGCTTATATATTCAAGTAGTTATCACTCAAGTGGATATTGAGTTTTTACCTGAATGTCAATGAACAACATAGGCACAAATTACAATGGAAAACATGATTTTTATGAAATTAGTTTTCTTTCTTTCTTTTCCCAGCTTTTATAAATGGAAAGTATTTCAGTCGCTGAAAATTGCTCCTGTTTTGAACAGAAGATATGTTCCCTGAATGGAGAATGCTTTTAACTTTCTCAGTGCTGAAGCTATATTTACGTTGTCTGATTTTCATAAATGGCCGGTGCTGAAGTTTCTGGGTTAAAACTTGGGGAACTGGATATTCATATTTATTTATATGCATCAAAGCTATATTTAGGGATTGCTTCTTACCAATTTTGCTAATTGACAACTTCCACTTGAGTGCACATTAGAAACATGCCTTGAAATTTACATATTTTTTTTGGTTTCCCGGAAAGTGTGTTCACCCATTTGGACGAGACTAATTCCATTTGTGGCGTAAAGCGTGAAAGTTTTTGTTATTGGCCCCAAATTGCTACGCCTAGGAATTGAACCATAGATCTTTCAAGCCTAGCAGTCTGTTCCTTAGGCACAACTTGCTTACTAGTTGTGTCACCTCTTGAGTTTGAAGTTTACACTTTAGGTTGAAGATAAGAAGTATATACTGATAAGGGTAGCTGATATCTGGTTCACAACTACATCTTATAGATTCAATTAGATGTCACACTACTGGATATTGAGTTTTTTCCTGAATGTTGATGAACAACTTAGGCATAATTGGAAAACATGATTTCTGTGAAATTAGTTTTCTTTCTTTCATTTTCCAGTTTTTGTAGATGCAAAACGTTTCAGTCACAGAAAATTGTTCCCATGATGAACAGAATATATGTTCCATGAATGGAGAATGACTTTTCACTTTCTCAACTGGAATATATTTTTTTCTTCTTTTTTTATTTTTTATTTTGGATATTATCCATCGATTCATGGATTACTTGATTAGTTCGATTCGAGTCGGGTAGGATCACATAAGTGGCAAAACTTTTCCTATCAAGTTTTAACACAATTGAGTTTTCAGGGGTTTAAACTCGAGACCACTAGTTAAGTTGGAACCATCCTTTACTAGTTGATTCACGTGTTTGGTAGTTATATTTTCTTCCTTTGAACTCACTCAAATTGCTATGTATGTTTTACCTGAGCCCTCAAATCAACTTCATTGTTTGGCACCAACATCACTCTACTTTCTACGCTGCCAGGCCCAGAAGTCACTTCTAATCTGCATCTTTCTTTTTTCACATAGCTTATCTGTTACTATTGTGGAGGTTGAAAATTGTATTACAGAGGTGGATTTTATATTATTCAAATGGAATTAAGTAAACTTAAAATTTGATATCCTATAACTTAAACGTCTTATGAGTTGCATTTGATGAGTTTGATCAGTGTTTTCTTTCAACTTGTCTCCGACTTCTGCTTTGGTTAAAAGAAGTTAGAAATGGGTCATGAAGAAGGACATATAAGCATTCTTATGGATTCTTTACAATGGTAGGCCATATATTAAGATTTCTACACTAAACATGAATGTGACATTTTACAATTAATAACAATCACTAGGTATTATTTACAATTTAGCTTCTACATTTGGTAAGAAGTAAGATCAATTAGAAAAAAATTTGAAATTTTAATCCATAGTTAATGCTAAAGTTTTGCTAAGAGATTTTGTAATTTTTTGGATAATTTAATGGATTGGTGTGATTGAACCTGAGCAGCACAATGAAGTGATCACCTTTAGGTGAACATTGATATCTGAAAAAATAAAAATAAATTGCTCTTATATTTTTGCATGAAAAAAAACTTTTTCAACATCACTTTGCATATACTAAATTATATACAAAATTTGAGCCGCAAAAAGAATGTGAATCCATTTGATAATTCTGGATATTGGTTTATCGGATATGTAAATTAATAAGAGAAAAGATCAACTGTGTAAGCTTAATCCATTATTAGTCATTAATTCCACCAATATTTAATAGCTTTTATTAATAATTAAAATTAAGTATAAAATTTCTTATTTTTATACCATTATAAATTATCTCCAATTAACACTAATTATTTTTGGAATAGTAGATAACTAATTATATATGTGTGTGTGTTTGTTTTGTTTTAATTACAGGATATTATCTTCTGCCATCTCAAAAATTTTCTTATAATTTTAATTTATTTTGGACCTGAATTATTATGATAATTTTTTCCCAACTTAAAATCACATCCTTTTGGGTATAATTTTATTGGGAAAATATTTTCTTATGATGTAGGAGAATTATTTTTTCCTACTAGTGACCCTTCAATTTTCGTGCAACAATTTCTTTTGTGTTTTTGTTTTTTATAATAGATATGGGACCTACACAAGATATGCAAGAAAATTTTCTCCTACTGCATAAAAAAATTGAAATCCAATTTTTTTATTTCTTGTAATAGGAGAAATATGTAACCCTATATAAAAGTTGCTAATTATTAATTTTTTTAAGTATTGTTGTTACTTGCTCTCAGTCGACATTAACCTAAAATAATATATATTTTTTCATTAATTAATAATGCATATGTTTCTTTAGAAATAAGAATAAACACACCTAACGAGAAAAAAAAATTATCATTTATCAATAAGGTTTCCTTGAATGAGTAACATTACATAAATCAGATGGCTGCATAAGTAATTAGACAAGCACCCAAAAAAAAAAGAGAGTTTTAGTCCAGAATCCTGAATTGCATTTGTATGTGATTATTACTCATATTCTTCTTGAAAGTGTTGGAGATCAAGAATGTTTCTGAAAATTCGAATTTGGATTGGCATTGCTGTATATCCTTGACTTGCACGCCATAATTCTCAATCGATTCTTAAACTATTGTGTGCAAATGTTAACTACAGTTGTTGCTTTGGAGTAGGTACTTCATTGAATTTATTACTTTGAAGAGTTGCACTCACAAGAGAGGGTTATTGACCAATGACATCTAAGATTATGTCATAGAATAATGTTCGTTGTTCATGCCTGCACGCACCCATGTGCTATCACCATTTTTCCGTGGCCAACTTGCAACATTGTCGCTGTGTGCCACTTCCTTTAATTTATATATAGATAGATTCCCCTCTGATTTTCCACGAATCTATAAAATAAAACATTCTTCTTTCTTAAACAGTTGATTAGGTTAATCTCATTAGAATAAAAAATAAATTACAATAATGTTAAAGCAGATTAAGTTTAATCATTGAGATTTAATACTGTTTCACATTTCAATAGACATCTTTTTCACCTATTATATATGTGAAAATATTTTTTTTCTCATGTTGCATGAGAATTCAATTCTCATGTTGTGACCTTTCGATTTGTGTGCAAAACTTTTCTTTTCTTTTTCTTTTTTTAATAAATGTGGGACCCACAGCTAGTTGAGTCACAACATGATAATTGAATTCTCATGCAACATGAGAAAATCAAACCCCATTATATATATATAAAATAATGTGACCTTAACTATAGTTGTAAAAAAAATAGTATAATTGGTTTACCAAAAAATAAAAAATAATAAAATTACAATTTGAATTTGAAGCCGGGCTCAAATCCAAAAGAATGTACATGACCTACTACCCAAGGTCCCATGGGTCTCACACATAACTCATATATAGGACTATGTCCATTTTCTGTGTCTGTTTACCGTGTCTCTTTTTCGCTCTGAAAGTGATTTAAGCATAGAAGTGTTTTTACATGTTCCTTACTCTGTTTTCAATAAATAGGATCAACAGCATACCAAAAAAAAAAAAAAAAAATAGGATCAACAACTAAGATTGAGAATATAATATATACTGGTGTCTCTCATATTATTAGAGACAAATTTTATCTTCTACATACACATAAAAATTGTGGGACCCAGATGCAGAAAAAAAAAATATAAGTCTCACATACTTTTATGTATATATAAAAAATAAAATTTATCTCCTATAATATAAGAAATAATAAATCCTATATATATACCCTTTTAGATTTTATTGGTTGAAGAAAGATCGTACTATTCGTTTGTTGTCAAAATACTTATGATTATGATATAATGTTAAATATCACATTTGGGTATCAACATGTCTCTCTATGTGCATCAAAAGCACCCCAACTCCCCCTACAAACATCATTTCACAATAGTGTGTTTGTAGGGAACATAATTCAGTCTAATTGTTTGAAATTAAAGCTGCAAACTACAGTGAGAGAAGACATCTATATTACGCCGTTTAGGTTTATCTAATGATAATTTTTTATTGTAGATCGGATTAGTCGAATAATTTTGAATAGATAAAAAATTAAAATAATAATAATAATTCAATTAACTATATATATTCCATCAATTATTTTATAGGAAAAATATTTTTGCTTTTATTATAAAAAATATTTCTCTATTATATTCATATAAAAATAAATGAATCCTATTATAAAGTGAAAAAAAAAACCCACTCAGATTTATATAAATATGATAACAAATAATTTTTCAACAAAAAAAGAATTTTTTTTTTTTTTTTATTTACTCTTGTATAATGTCAATTGTCACCAGCACCAGAGAGTTCGGCTCCTTGCCCCTTGCCAAGCGCTAAAGTCAATTGGTTACTACAAATATAGTAGAAGAAGCCACTTGGTATTTGCACTATCATTTTCCATGAAATTTAATTAACCACGCTTCCGAGTCAATTAGACAATTACAGTCTCATAATGACACCGTTGTCTTCCACAATTGTGCTGGAATAATTGCATATCATCGATGAAACCAAATCATAAAATTTCATGGAAAATGCCTGTTGCATATGTTTTTGCCAATGACAGCTCAAGATAGGTCCCACCCCTCCATTGTATGGTTTAATTATGCAATGTACTTCAACTGTATTACATTAACAGCATTTGGTAAAGGACAAAATTTTTTTTTACTTGGAAATCATAATTTTTGAAAATATGATGGGAAAATTAATTTTTCAAAAATATTATTAAAAAATTGTTTGGTAGGTTAAAATTGAGAATATTAGCTCAAGTTTCTTAATTTTATGTTGGATTA